GTGCCCGATCCCGAGCCGGGTTTAGGATCCCGGTGCCCGATCCCGAGCCGGGTTTAGGATCCCAGTGTCCGATCCCGAGCCGGGCTCATCATTCCCTCTCCCCCCGAGGGGCAGCAGATCCCCATTCCCGGTTTTTTGAGGCTTCTCCCGCGGGACGAGGAGCCTCTGGGGGGTGTCGGGCAGGTGTTTTCCCGGGATTTGGGCGCCTGGAGCGGGAAGGGGGGGGTTGGGCGGAGGTGCCGCCGCCTGGCCCGGCCCCTCCCCCCAGATCCAGAGCCCCGATAGCGATTTTTTTTTTCCTCCCTTTTTTCTTGGTTTTGACCTCGAAGTCGCTCCTTTGAGGAGCCGCCAGAGATCCAAGGGGAGATAAAATCCAGGGAAGAAAGAAAAAAACCCACAAAACCCAACAATTCCCGAAGATCTGGAGCGGGAAAAGAAAAAGCCCCAAAATCCGGGATAAAACCGGACAAAATCCCGCCCCCCGGGATTGTGCCTCGTCCTGGAAAAGGTTCCCGGCATTCCCGGCATTCCCGGGCAGTCCCCTGGCCAGACGGGGATTTGTTCCCCGATCCCACAGGTTTTCCAAGCCCTCCGGGAGTTTGTGCAACACCAGAATTCAGGGAATTTGCCCCCGGGAAGTGCCCCGGGACGGGTGGGAGCCACCCGGGCCATGGAAGGTGTCCCTGCCTTTGGAATTCGGTGGGATAATGGGAGGATCCTTAAGGTCCCTTCCCACCCAGAGCATCCCAGGATTCCAGGACTCTGCTCCGGGGACGGGCTAGGAGAGCTGGGAATGTCCCCCTGGAGCAGGGAGGGATCCAGGGAGAGCTTCCAGCACATTCCGGGGGCTCCAGGAGAGAAGGGCTGGAGGGATGGGACACAGGGAATGGCTTCCCCCTGGAAAAGGGGGATTGAGGTGGATTTGGGGAAGGAATCCTTGGCTGAGAGGGCGGGGAGGGAATGGGATGGAATTCCCAGAGGAGCTGTGGCTGCCCCATCCCAGAAAGTGCCCAAGGCCGGGTTGGATCCACCTGGGCCCTGGAAGGTGTCCCTGCCTTTGGAATGGGAGGAGCTTCCCACACAAACCATTCCAGGATTTCATGATTTTACAATTCCAGGAATTTCTGCAGTCCCAGGGCTTGGGGTTCCCCTTGGATTTACAGCCCTGGAACTCCCAGGGATCCAGGGGCAGCCACAGTTTCTCCGGGAATTCCATCCCATTCCCTCCCCACCCTCCCAGCCAAGGATTCCTTCCCCAAATCCACCTCGATCCCCCTTTTCCAGGGGGAAGCCATTCCCTGTGTCCCATCCCTCCAGCCCTTCTCCCAAGCCCCTCTCCCGCTCTCCTGGGGCCCCTCAGGAACATTCTGGAATCTCTCCCCGTGTCCTTCCCCGCTCCAGGTGAACATTCCCAACCCTCTCTCCCGGTTTTCCCCCCGCTCCAGGCCCCGATCCCAAGATGGGGGAGGTCTGTGCCGGCTGCGATTCCCGGATTTCCGACCGGTTCCTGCTGCGGGTGGAGGAGCGCTCGTGGCACGAGGGGTGTGTGAAGTGCTCCGTGTGCCTCCAGGGCCTCTCCGGGAGCTGCTATTCCCGGGATCGCCGCCTCTACTGCAAGCACGACTACGACAAGTGAGGCATTCCCAGGGGTTCTTCCCGGTTTTCCGGCGGGTCCAGGGGTCGGGAGGTCGGGGACGGGGGGTGGAGGGAGGGTTTTTGGGGAGGAGCTGGTGGGATGATCTCAGGGGGGAGAGGGTGGGAAAAGAGGGGGATGGAAGGGTTTGGATTTGATGGAATGTGGGGACAGGGAGGAGGAGGAGGAAGGGAAGAGGCCTTGGATGAGGAGGAGGAGGAGGAAGGGATGATGATGAAGAGGTGGAAGGGATGGTGTGGATGAAGAAGATCAGGAAGGGATTGTTTTGGATGAGGAGGAGGAAGGAATGATGATGAAGAGGATGAAGGAATGATGATGATGAGGAGGAGAAAGGGATGATGAGGAGGAGGTGTCTCCAACCCCCCAAATCCCACAAAACCTCCCCATTCCAGTCCCTTTCCACCCTCCCCCCTTTCCAGCCTGGGAATTTCCCGGGAGAGCCGAGCCCTGGGAAGCGGGAGGAGGAGGAGGAGGAGGATTCATCCCTGGCCTTGACTTCCCGAGGGTTTTTGGCCTGGGATGAATCCCCGGGATGCGGCTCCGGAGGGATCCGGACACCCAGCCGGCCTCTCTCCCTTCCCACCCGGAGCCAGGAAAACATTTTCCTGGCGGGATAATCCAGCAGCTGCGGCCGGAGGGGGGGACGGATCCGGAGCTGGAATGTTGGGATGGATGTCATTCCACAGCCCTTATCCCATGTAACCGGGGGGGGGGGTTTTTGGGAGTCTCTCCCCTTCCCCCTTTTCCAGAGGCCTCCCAGGCACCTGCCTTGGGAATCTGGCTCTGTGGGAGAAGGGAAAGGAGGGAATGAGGAGGAGGAGGAGGAAGGAGCGATCCCGCGGGATGAGGGCCGGAGGGGCCGCCGGGTTGGCTTTGAAGTTTGGGGTTTCCGTGGGATGTGGGGACGGATCCGAAGGATCCAAAGCCTTGGCAGCCGCTCCCGACTCCCTCCCCCTGCTCCATGTGGAGATGATTTGGCTCCAGCTCCGGAGATAAAACTCCGGGATGAACTCAGCTCGAACTCCCCCGGCACAGCCGAGCACGGGCAGAGCCCCCCCTGCCTTTCCCAGGATTTCCAGGTGGATCCGTCCCTGGAAGGGTTGGGAAGAGGGTGATCGGCACATCCTGACCCTCAGCTCTTCCCAAATCCCCCGCTGGGATCCTCGGGATCCCCAAATCTCACCCAGCGTTGGGTTTTTGGGATGTGCAGGACCTCAAACTCCAGAGAACATTCCCACCCCATCCCACCCCATCCCATCCCATCCCATCCCACCCCATCCCATCCCATCCCATCCCATCCCATCCCATCCATCAGCTCTTCCCAAATCCCCTTTGAGACCCTCTAAATCCCCAGAATCTCACCCAGTGTTGGAATTTTGGGATGTGCAGAACCTGGAGCTCCAGGGGACATTCCCATCCCATCCCATCCCATCCTGTCCCATCCCATAGTGTTGGAATTTTGGGATGTGCAGAACCTGGAGCTCCAGGGGACATTCCCATCCCATCCCATCCTGTCCTGTCCCATCCCATAGTGTTGGAATTTTGGGATGTGCAGAACCTCCAACTCCAGACATTCCCATCCCCTGGACTCTGAGAACCCAGGGAAGGGCAGCTGAGTTTTTTGGGAGCCCCTCGGAATCCCGATTCCCACAGATCCCTCGGGGCTCAGGGATGGGGAGTTCGGGTTCCAAATTCCAAGGGCCGGGTTTGGATGCAGAGCTCCCAAATTCCTGGAGCCACAACCATCCCAATTTTAACACTTTTCCCAAATTTTGGAGGGAGGTTTGGGGGGGAAATCCCAGAAAAGGGAGGAGGGAGCCGCCCTAGGGATGGAATTCCTGGAAAAACAAGGGGGGAAGGAGCTGATTTTTATCCTCGGGTGGAAAAAAAAAGGGTTGGAAAAATCGGGATTGGGGGCCCAAGGGGGGGGTAAAAACCCCGCGGAGCTTCCCGAGGAGTGGGAGCGGGACCTCCCTCATTCCTGGTTCCAGAGGGAGCAGCGACCGAAAATTGGGAAGTGACCCGGAGCCGGAGCCTTGGCAGCGCTTCTGAGGGAGCTGGTTAATGTTTAACTCCAGAGGGAGGATCCCTGGAGCTCTCCTGGGCAGCAGCGGGAACGAGCCGGGAATGGGCCCGGAATGAGCTGGGAATGGGCCCGGAATGAGCTGGGAATGAGCTGGGAATGAGCTGGG